AGGGCAATTAAAGTTTGAACCAGGGACAGGGGTACTGTGTCATATTAACGCAGTTGGTCTTTAATCCATTTTTAACAAAAAACCATTAATCACTATTTGATATATTACGCTATTACGCGATACTCCGCTCCTCCCCTCCTTTCGGTCTGTATAATTTTTCCGCTCCATCTGACGACTGCCTCGCGTTTCTGCACAGCAGAAATCACGGTTGGAGTGGTTGTTTTAATGCCCAGTCTTACCTGGGCGCTTTATTCAGAACTTGGAAAAGTGCTGTATTACACTTGGAATGAATTCCCCCTCCCCCCCCCGGTCCCCTTAAGCTAAGTGTGCACAATTGTTTTTTCACTCCTTCGTTCTTCTTTTTAGCCGGGTTTTTATGGCAGCGATGAGCAACGTGCACTAATCGAAGCATTCATTATCGAATACATCACAGTGTACGATGACGACGATGTTAATAACAGGAAGAATTTAATCAATGCTTACGATGAAAATGTTAGTTTTATCGCCATTTCTATAAATTGTTTGCACAAGAGAAGCTGTCTTTCTTTTGGCCAAGAAATCCGCTTTTTCTCAGAAACGGGACAAATCCCTCGAGTGGCTTAGTGACAGCAGTCTGTGCTGCTCTGAGACTTTTGTTGCTTCCTTGTTTTGAAGATAAAATAAGTGGTGTCTTAGTGGTCTGACTATTCAGGGAAGGGAATTTGAAGCGATTTCTAAAGGTTTTTGGTTTATCAGCGGCTTAACAGAAATATTCCGAACCAGGCTGGCATTTATCTACCAGTTTGGTTAATTACACGGAAAAAAAGGGGTGGTATTGACTGAAATTCACCACGGATACCTCGTTGTTTTTAATAGAATGTTGGTTATTGTAGAATTTCATCTGCGCATTGTTGAGTAGTTTTTTATCGGAGCATTTTACTGTTGTGATCTTGTAGTCTTCGTAAACTGTATGCATCAGATCGATAGTTCGGGTAAATCTCCTGCGATTTCAGCTGCGATAGTGGCTTTCTTTTTTTGAATGACTCCTTAATTATGTTATCGGAATTTCAGGCAACTTTCACGCTGTCTGCAGAAAATTTGCCAGATTCGAACGAAAGAAGGCCGTTTACTTATTTCAGGTTTGACATGTTTTTTGTCAGTCTTTTGATCATGAATTGTCGCATGTGATTAATCGCCATAGCTTTGAATTATCTGTTTTTGTAGAAGTGAATGGAGAGCTTTGCGAAGTTTCTTTTCTTTCGGATTGGGTGATTAAATACAGGTTTGCACGAAGAGGAACAGTTTCAGCCAAGGGGCAAAAAATTTAGCCAAAGGGATGTTAAATTTTAGCAGAAGGGATGTAAATTTTCTTACGAAAAAGTCGTGAAAACCAGAGAAATAGAACAAAATTTTGCAAAAAAAGCGAAAAATCCAGTTGATATATCGTTAAATGCACTCAAATCAGTGTTAAATTCAATTTTCCAATCGTCGCAGTTTGTGCACAGTATTTTGAGAGTTTCAGCACCTATAATACTTATCGGAAATCATCGCATAACGTTATGTGCGTCGAGAAATGGGAACGTTTTCGTGAGAAGGTGGTGCATAAGGGAGCAATGGATATCATTGTTATGTTGCGTAAACTTCCGGCCACCAAGCATCTTATGGACACTTTTGTGGTTGATGTTTCAATGACGACGGTAAGTTTGATGCATCATTTTTATATGCTTTTTACATTTATGCATTGCAAGAGCGCATATTGCCGAGAGGTTGTCTATGTGTGTGTGTACATGTGTATGTACATATGTATGTGTGTTTGTGTCTGTATGTTTGTGTGTTTGTGTCTGTGTGTTCGTCTTTACCGATTTCCCGTCTCGAAACCTACAAAAGCTGCAAGGCTGGAACTTCGACAACTTGACCTACGCAAGCACATGTACGAGCGCTTTTGGAAGTGTGGTTTCCACGTAGAGGCTTGTGAAAGTTTTTAGCGGACAAGTTGCTAACTCGGGAACCAGAGAAGCTAGAAAGCTAAAATTTTATGGGGATGTTCTTCGTGCACGTATATCTAATGACTTCAAATTCAGCCTCCAGGTGATTTTCATCTGTGGGCCTATGAAAGTTTTTGACGGGTAGGTTGCTAACTCGAGAATCGGAAAAGCTGAAATTTTAAGGGGATTTTTCTTGGAAGTCATGATAGCCAGTCTCAGTTTTTTTAGTTAGAATCATCTGCCTGAAAGAGCATGCCGTTAGCGATCAAAAGCATCGGGGGACTGTGCAAAAAACATATCTTCGCACTTGCGGTCGGTGCGCTGGCCAATTACTGAATATTCTGGAAGAAGGGTTACTGCCAAACGTAGTTTCAGTTTAAAAGGATTAATTTTTTTATTTATAGAAACCAGGGGATTTTTGTCCAGGAATGCACTGATGCAAGCCTGAAGCTGTAGCGGCGAATGCAAATTATTAGCCGGCATCGCATCTTACCTACATTTATTAGGAAAATGGGAATTAGTTGGATTAGATATATTAAACAAAGAAGATTTCATTAGAAACTAATATTTTTGATGATTTAAGAAAAATTTTAACAAAAGAATTGTGGGAAAGCGAAGAAAAAACTCATTATGCAATTGCAGGCAAAGCATATGTGTTTCGCAGTTCATGGATTCTTTCGCGACAGCATGACTAAAGTGCAAGATGACGATGAGGTGAAATTCTTTTGCCGCAACTTCGTCGTTGTGAATAAAGGCGAAGGGTAAGCCTTCAGTGCTGTTGAAAATTTGTTCATATCTTTAGAATTTTCACAGCACTCCGCGGATTAAAATGATGTGTTGGGTCAGAGTATTAGTTAATCCAGATAAGCTTATTTTATTTGCTTTTTTAGTAACTTTATTGATTATCGAGATGATACCGCTTCGAACTTAAATTTTGTTTATAATTTGAAGCTATCGCTCGGGAATTTTTCCCCTCACTTTTCTTCAGATTGGCAGTGAGATGAGTAGTGTACCAGCGATTCAAAACTTCGGTAGGAGGCTGTACTGACGATTTCCATTCCTTCCCGCATGCATAGTCCGATCTGTGTTTACAGCTAAGGGATGAAGCACAGACTGCATTGAAAAATATCACCTCGCTACATCTATAAGATAAACGCAATTTGCACCATAAAATAACACCATACACATGGCTTGCGTACAATCCTGTTGGTCTATTATTCCCTACGTTTTGCTTCTCAGACAGTCACGGGGAAAGGCAAATAGGCAGCAGTTAACACTCGTACCTGTCGGACTGCAATACGCTTTGTCCTTTTCATTTTAATACTTTCGCTGAGTGGAGGCGTATTACTTAGGATTGAAGGGTCTGGCACAGCTACTTGAGGCATGTAGGTTTAACCCAGAAATTTTGGACCGTCATGTGAGTTCTCCCGTAGTTGGTTTTGATAATTTCTATAGTATCCTGTAGCATTTTTTGATTCTATAGTGGATGTTTTTATAGGAAAATAGCAGTTCTTAGCGATATACTATTTGTCAGCGGAGTGTTCACTGAAAGGATACAACGTTACAAGTCAATGATTACCAGTTTGTTAAAGGTTTTCTTTTCTCCTTTCTATTTTTTGTATATTTTAAGTCCAATGATTAGCAGTACATGAAAGGAGCCGTTTCTGCTTCGGAAATTTCCTTAAGGGATTTCAGCTTCCTAGCTTCTTTGTTTCCGTGCTGTGTTGGTGACAGGTTCCGAACACACACACACACACATAAACCAGTAGTCTCCTGTTCATTCTCGTATTTTTTGCATTTTACTTACGATGAGAAAACTCAAAAAAATTCGGTATACTAGAATCGTTTACTGTTTTTACGCCGTGGTCAAGCAGATGACTAAGTTGCAGCGATATGCAATGCAGGATTCGTTTCCGACAAATTTAGACTTTTTTAGGCAGCCCCGGATACAGGAACCTCGATGAACATGGATGGAGCAGGTGGCAGCATGTCCGTTGGAGATGGTGCTGAGAATCGTTGGATGGCAGAGCCGTTACCGCCAGCTCCTCAGTCATCAGTGCCGCAGCCAACCCCAGCGCAATGTGCTCTC